GAAAAGAAAAAAAAAATTAACAGAAAGAGAAAACATGGAAAAATGAAACTTTTAAATTACCGTTTGAATTTCGAAAAAAAATTTTTTTCTTAAAAATATGAAAAAGAAATTATATTTTGGAAGTTTTATCAGTGGAAAATTATTATTGTGATAAAGAGGAATTTTTTTATTGATAACAGAAAAAAAAGCTGAGAAGAAGGAAAATAAAGGAATGAAGAAAGAGAAACTTTAAAATGTTCTAAACTTTATTGGATTGGACTGTTGATAAATTGAAGAGAGAATTCATTTGCATCAATTTTAATATTTTCATAAATTTTTCATTTTTAATTTTTTTTCTTAATAAATATTATTTGATATGAATGAATTAAAAAATTTATTGAAAAATCATATTATTTCATATTTGGCTTGCAAAAAAAAAATTTAGATTTTCTTTTTTTAATTTTTATAGAATATTTAATTATGAGCGAAAATGAATTGGTTATTGCATCGGATGATTCTGTTTGGGGACGAATTACTTTATTAGTTCGTTCATTAATGGGCGAAGCTTATACGCCAAAGCATCGTGCACAATTTTATGAAATTCTTCTAACGAAATCTTTGGATAATCGTGGATTTGAGGTTATTATATAAAATTTTTAATGCCTCTTTTTCTTCTAATAATGCAATTATTTTTAATTTAATAAAATACAATGACTGTAAAAATGAGACGTTTTCATGAGGCCGATTAGACGCCATCAAAATTATTTAAAAATATAAAATTTATTAAAACGACATCGTTTAATTTTTATATTTGGCTGAATTGTTAATTTATTTCAAAATTTTCCTTAATCGTACCAATTACGGTCGTAATTGATTGAGATTTTTCTCTTTCAGAAGATAACAATATCAGCTTTATCATTTATCATTTTTATTGAGATTTAATGGTATGAAATCTAATAAAAAATAATGAAAATGATAAAATTGATATTAATTGCTTGGAGCTTATATCATTCACATGAGTGAATTGGCTTTCAAGCCTCTATCAATATTTTTACTATCAATGATAAAAGCAGAACTAATTTCTTAAATCATTTAAAACAATTTTGATCAATGCTTCTCTTTATTTTAGGAAAACGAATTGAAGTACATGATTGACAAAAAAATAGCTGAATTGAATCTTGAAGACCCAGAAAAAGCAAAACGTTTTGTTTTCTTATTAGGTCTTTTTTTGGAAGCTTTTTGTATCATATAGTTTTGCCTTTATCATTCTTTTTGTTTTGTTGAATAATCATTGATATTCCATTATGATTATAATGAATTGAAATAAATGATTGACAAAAAAATAAGATTAAAGAATATTGTCTATAAGTTTTCATCCTAAATATCAAGATTTCCAAGTCGCAACAAATTATCGAAGTAGCGATAATTTGTCGATTTATTTCAGCTAACAATTCCTACTTAATTTATCCGCTTAATTTCATCGAGATTCTTTTTTTTTTGCATTTTTAAGAATAGCTTTTTAACATTGTTCCCTTCTTTCAGATCGTTTGAAGAAATTGTATGAAGATGGCGATAAAATTATTGGGTTTTTGTTTGCTATGTCGAGTGAAAAACGTGAGAAATGCGTTGAACACGTTTCAGAAAATAAGAATCATACTTCCAAGAGTTCGATCAAGCGCAATCCATTAACTGATTCGTATTTTAATGCTGTAGTTTTTATTTAAGTGTTATTTGGTATGATTTGAAAATGTAGTATCTAAACAATATTTCTAACATAAATTTATTGATGGAATCATTCAGGCTTGTGCTGCTGCTTTTTATTCGCGTTATTCTTTCAAATCATCGCGTAAGCAGAAATGTCGTAAAGCTAGTTTCTTATAATAAATTTGTTATATTTTGTAATAATAAATAAATTTGGTAGCGCAGCAATTTTTTCATTTTTTTGTCATTTTTTTTTTTTGTCATTGTCATTTTGTCATTTTTGGTCAAGAAAATTCTTTATTTTTCAGGTTCATTTCAATCCCATAGCTGAAGTGCAAGTGAATTCGAATGAAATTATTACCGTTCCTCTATATGGTACGTCACCCTGATAATATTTTACTCTAGGAAAATCTTTGAATTGCAGCTTATATTTGGACCTAAGATTTTGATAGTTTATAAATCAGCAATCCTATGGTACTGTAGGATAATATAAATAATATAAATAATTTTCGATAATTTTTGGAATCCATATGCCTTTAAAGAATAAATAAAAAGTTAGAATATAGATGTATATATAGACACAGATATATTCTTTCTAAACTGTAAATCGAAAGGATATTTTTTTCAATATGAATTTGCATTTTTCGATGATGCTGGTGAATCTGCTGTAAGAAATCTTATTCTGGGTTTTGCTGGAAGACTGGATCCTAGAATCACTGATCCTGAGCTGCGACAGCTTTATATTCCTTTTCGCGAATTTTTGATGGTTTAAGTTTTTTATTTTGAGTTTGATTTTCGATATTTCAGAAGACTTCCTTAACTAAGGAAAGAAAGATATGATTTGTTGAGCAATCTAAGGATTTTGAGAATTGGTTTTCATTTAGTCAATTGGTCTAGATTTTGTAGAATAAGATATTGATTGATAGAAAATACTCTTCTAAATCTTTTAATTATCGAAGTTATTATAGGTCACTTGGCTGGATTTCTTGCACTGCCTTCAGCTATTATTATTCAACCAAGTTTCATTTCTATTTCGGATTGATTTAGAGGTATTTCTGATTCTAATAATTATTTTGTCACTGTAAAAGAGAACACTGTAAAAGAATCATTAACTTATTTTGGATCATTTTTAATTGAAATTGAAAGGCAGTAGAGCATGTTCTTTTCACTTGAGAAAATGTAGGTTCCTTGGAGTCCCACTACTTATTATTTAATCATTTATTAACTGTTGTATTTTAAAATTTTTAAAATGTGTGGTTTAAAAGTTAGAAAAATTTTTCGAAATTGTGGGCAACAATATTATTTTCCCTCAAATTTCAGACTGACGAATTTTTTATATGGAATAGTGAAAAGATATACCTGGATTTCCATGAGCCAACTTTACTGAACCACATCGCAGAACCGTTCATTCATTTTGCAAATCGGTTTTTTCCTTGTTAATTTCGTCATTTTAATTATCCTTTTTGCATTTTTTTCATTTTTTAATGAAAAATCCATTCAAAAAATAGTTTAAAAATTTAGTATGCGATGGGTGTATAAACGTATTAACACTAAGCGAACGCTTGCAGCGCATGAAGGTTCCAATTCAGTTCCTCAAAGCTATGGAATGAGACTTGTTGATTTGCTTGTGGCTCATATGAACGACGTCGTTCATCAGCTTAGGTACGCTTAAAATTGTGCATATCATTATTTACTAGTACGAATCCACTCTATAGGCTGGTACAATTGCTTTCTCTTTGACAATATTTCTGCGAAGTATAGACTGAGCTAAAATCTCTACGATCCTTCCTAACACCCTCAAATTCCCTACAAAAATGATTGATGGAACATCAAGAGAGCACAATGGGATCTGAGAGGATGTTGAGGAAATATAACAAATTTTGATGAAATTAGGAGATACGGCAGAAATTATACGAGATCTGAGATATCAGACATATGACATCGAATCTGAAGTGAACATATATTAACATACAAGATGGATGAGAAATAGGAAAGAAATGGCGATATCTGGGGGATTAAAGAGAGTTTTCACAATGAATTGTTTGGAAGGCATATGTGAGTTTTTTTTAGGACGCATCCACGTACGCTAATGTAGGAGCACTATTTTGTATTTATATTACATTTCGCTATTTTCACGGAGATTTTATTCTTCACGGAAATTTCAAAAGTTAATTAAGCCATCTTTCCTTTGCCAAATGTTTATGTGGTGGAAATCTCGATCATAAACATATTATGAAATAAATTTTCAATTTATGTCCTGCAAACTTCATTTCAGAAAATTTTCGGAAAAGAAGCGATATAAATATATAGCATATTAACATACATATATTTTTATATTTTATATATATTTTTTAAATTTTCACTGTGGATTTTAGAGTGGAAATATATAATATCCTTACATTCGATCAAACACTGATGTCAGATCGAGAAAAACTAGATGAGATTTTAAAATATGCGCACAAAAAATGTCGCATTTTTTCTCATTTTGTGGAAACAGTTCTAAAAATATGGCAATTGAAGATATTTTCGGTAGGATTTTTAAGTGCTTTTCATCTTATCTCATCAAGAGATTTTCTTTACTTCATTTTAAATCAATCATTTCGCTGATAGATGAAAAATGTTTATATCAGTCGAAGTATGAAAATATGTTGTGTTTGCTGTATTGTGCTGCATTTCCTACACTATCATTTTTCAAGTACTAAGGTTTGGTTGTTGCTCTCTAGCGACTGCAAACTTTATAATTCATAATTATCAGATTTGGGTGACCAACCGGCACTTTTATCTTCAACCGCTTCTCTGATGAATGATCCTCATTCCGCTGGAGTGATGTAGAAATAATAGGTGATAAAAAATGACACATTCATCACACACAAGGCGCATCTAAATATCTATTTTAATCTATCCATCTACCTCTTAAATCTACCGATTATATTTCAGGCTTCCGCGATAATTACATTTATTTTCAATATGAAGCCACTGGTCGAACGTATATCTCCTGCAACGAAGAAGCTTTTCACTAATCTTCTTGTTTTATTAATAGAACATTTCTATAAGTAATTTGATTTTTTAATCCTATGAGAGATAATAGTCAAGTGAATTCAGTGAAAGAAAATTAAACTTTCAGGTCTGTTTTACTCTGGCTTGAAACCGGTGATGCCAATTTTTCAGATGGAGTATTCTTACCAATTGATGTAGCATATGCGACATGTTTTGCATACAAAGATAGTGAGTTTTTCTCTTTTTCGCTATGGTATTTCATATTTATTTTTGGGCACATTCCTGATTTTATCTTTTTCGCTATGATATTTCATATTTATTTTTGGGCCAATTCCTGATTTTCTTTTTTTTTCAGTAAATAAATTTTTTCGGTAAATTTCTTGGTTATTTTCTTTATATTCTCGTTAAACAGTAATTATACAATGTTATAAGTAAATGGATAAGGTTGATGTATTACTCATTCATGCTCCAACCAATTTAGGTGCAATGCTACAAGCATGGTCAAATAATTTTGGTGTATCTTTACCATCTTGCGCATTAATTGGAGATGGTTATTGTAAAAAGTGGTTGGAAGAAGGAAAGATGCGCAAGCTATTTAATCTATGGCTTAATGAAAAAAATGAAGCTGTCTGGGAGCATAAGGTAATAGTACTATTAGCTGCTATAAAAAAGACTCTACAAAAAATATGAAAGCAAACTTCTACATAAAGCTAGTGAAAATTTTCTAGAGCATTTAGGCTATTCAATAATTATTTCAGATGGCGACCTTATTAGATTGTTTATCATGCAAGGCAGTTTATAGAAGTTCACAAATAATTTTATGCTATTTTCTTCCCTCGGTTACAAAAAAAATTTTGCAAAAATCTTTCTTATATATAAATATATATGAATGTAGTCTAATTTTAGAATTTATGAATTTCAAGATATCAGATAATTTGGATAATTAGATATTAGAAATTATTTTAAAGTTTTTTTATTAATGGAATTTTGAGTTTACCTCATTTTATATTTAGTATTATGATTGGCTGAACGACGAAAAGCTAAAAAATACATTAGAGTTTTATATATCGAACGCCTTTTTGCAATATCCCTCTTTCAACAGCAATACATTTGGCGAAATATTGGATCGAAAATACCGGTATTTTGTAATTCTTCTTTTTAATTTCTATGGCACTGTCATATATTTGGTTATTAAATTCTTTTTATTGATCTTATTTAAATTTTAGATTTTGCCATTTTGTCTCTTTTTCTACCTTCAACTTGTGAATAATAAATTTTAAAGAAATAGACTAGAACTCATATTAATAAAAAATTGGAAAAAGAAAAAAAAGGCAAAAATTTTAAGAAAAATGAGCAATTCTTTTAAACTACTGAGATTTTTTTCTAATTTCATTGTCTGTTTTCCGACGGATTACCGTCAGTGATAGCAAAACGTTCATTTAATTGTTTTCTGGTCTTAAGGATTTTTTAATAAAAATAAAAATTACAGAATGGTGAATATTTCGTCCAAATTTGAAAAGATGCGTGTTAGTTTCATGGACGATTTCTTTCAAACTTTATGTATATTGAAAAATACATTTTTATGCATTAATGGTGCAATTGCAAGTGAGGTTGTTAGGTTATTTTTTTCTTGATTTTTTTAGCCATCATTGAATAAATTTTAATTTGGTTTTTTTAGCCATTAAATCATTTCATGTTGAAAAATTGAATTCAATTGAAAAAATTGAATAATTTATCTCAATATTCCATTTTCTTGTATAAATACGCATAGATTCAAGATAATTCAGTTATCTCCTAAAAATCATTCTGTTAAGGAGATACAAATGTCGACTATTCAGCACATTATTTTATAAAATCGATTTATAATTATAATTTGTAATATGATTTAAAAGCTTCGTTTTACCGCAGCATCATAAGGAATTTACCGCTTGTAAATGAAACGAAAATATCGTTCAAATGTCGTACGAAATGTTTTGAGTTTAAAGAAGAACGTGATTATGGAATTGTCGTAGAACAAGTGAAGAGCGATTTGCTGCGGATTGGCTGCAATAAAGAAATTTTAAAGGGATTCAGGATTTTCGGTAATTGTTGCGAAAAATTTGTAATTTTTCAAATTTTAATATTCGGCTGCAATTTTACTTGCTTTTTCATGCTTTGTTTCATTGTGAACAGCCATTTATAATTATGTGAGCCCTTTTTTTAATTTCATATAGATTGACATAATATGGCAGCATGGGAGGATATTCGCTATAATTATATATGGCTATTGTATGATTTCATGTCCATTTAAGATTATATTTCATTAATATATTTTTACATGAAAACTTTCTGAAAAAATTTCTTTTTCTCCTAATTTACGAAATAGTGTCTTGGTTAACCATTGCTTTTTCATATAACAGCTTGTTTTCCATGGTACTTAACACAGCTTTCAATTGAAGATTTTTTACTTAATATTTTATAGCTTCACCAGATAACAATTCCTTATTACGGCTGCAGTACGTTCCAGTTTTCTCACAACTGCTTGTTTTCACTCCCTCAAAATTACAAACTTATGAAGAAATATGGATTTTATTTATGGAATTGTCGACAGAACTTATTTCTATTCTTCAAGTTAGCCTAATTTTATATTTGTTTAAAAATCATATAAATAAAAGAAACTCAGTTTTCTGGATTTTACAAAAAAATAAAGTATCATTTTCTTTGCTGTTATGCTAGGAACATTTAAGAGTTCTAAACTGTCATTTCAGCTTCAACCTTTTGGACCTTCCAATATTC